CACTTCCAGTAGTCTTTGACGTCTTTGCAGGAATCTCTTTATCCTATGGGGAAAGAAGGAAGTAAAGAAATGTATAAAGAACATTAGAGAGCAATACTGTATTCACATAAACAGAGACAACAGTACTTTTCAATGCAACTGAAACATCCCCTTGTGAGCATAAAGGCCTAAACTATAACTTTTAAAAGTAAGTACTCAGTCCTGTTTCATTGTGAAATTATAACCTTCCAGATGTTAACAAAGGAAGGTAAAAATGTACAAGGACACATCCACTTTCTCCCAGCTACTAAAAAATTTAAGCAGCAATTTAGGCCTGCCCTCAACTGACTAAAAACACAGAGTCATCCTTCTGTTCAGTTGAAAAGGATAAAAAACAAACCAAGCAAACAAAACCAGTATGGAAAATAAGGCTGGAGTTATCCATCATAAAATAAAGTCCACAAAGCTTAGACCAGGGGAAGGAAAGAATATAACATACAACTCATTATGTTATCCTCTTGCAAAGAAGGCAAAATTAACAGAGACCTTCACAATGACTCCCTTTCTCGCTACCCCCTCAGGCCCCTATGTCCTGCAGAATGCTCTTTCCTTGCTCACACACCAAAATGAAAGCCTCTCCACATTGATCAGACATCGCTGCACTATAATTTAATCTACAGAAGAATCACAGACTAAAATCCACCCCTCCAAACCTTAAACTCTAGGTGCAGGGACAGCAAGGCTCCCAGGGAACGTGTGATAAAGAGGCCCATTGCTTTTTCAGCAACAGCATCCACTGAAAAGAGCATCTTAGTAGTGACTCTCCGAAAGAGACTTACCTCTTCCATTGACTAGCACACTTAGGGTCTGCTGATCATGCATATTTCTAATCTCTTGTTTTAAGTAATTGAAGAGATTGGTTCATTAGTTCAGAAGTCTCAATCTGAAGATGTTACAACTGCTGACCTTTCTCACCATTCGTATCATCCATACAGACCCAGCAACAAATCAAGAAAACAGCTGAAACCCTCCCAATGTGTTTGTGTAACAAGCATACCATAATAAGCAAACCTAAGTCTAAACCAAAGACTGGCAGTTCCCACCAGTGACACATAAAACAGGCGTTTCATTATTGCTATAATGAAACTCCAGGGAGTGTGGCTAACAAGACGTGAAAGTGCTCAGCTGCACCTCACGCCTTGTAATTCTCCAAAGGTGCGATTACCGCTTCTCTCTTGGGCATTACTGTTGGCTTCCAATTATAATGATCCTTTTGGGAATTAAAGAAATACACCCTAAGTTACATAAGCGTGTGCTGTACATCTCCTACTGCAAGGAAATGTACACTTTTAATTGCAGATGTAGAAAAATGCCACTTAAAAAGAGTAATAGTGGAAAATGAACTCAAGAGCACATAAACACAAACCTTAACCATAGAGGAGAACAAGATACAGTGAGGGTTCCCCCTGCCCTCAATCACTTGGAGACTTAAAGAGACACCTAGGCTTGTCTACACAGTAATCATTATGTTTCACTGCACGTTACTGAACTCAGCAGAGAAAATTTGGCAGAGTTATTGTGCCTGTATTACATAAGGAATCAGCCTGGGTTAAAATGGTCCTTTCTGGTGCTATACATTTGTCTGTTAATTGCTTAAAAAAACCCCACAACACAATGCTTTTAGAAACTGCATTTTTACCTAAAGAGTACCAACAAAACTGTTATAATTTTGAAATTAATTGTGTTTCAAGGCATAAATACATACCTCTCTAGATCCAGCAAACAGTGGAATGTCATGAAACGGGGAAATATATTTACCATCTGTGTTCTCTGAAAAACAAAACAAAAAAGTAACATTACAAATCTAAAGATATGCCATAAGACGTTGGTACTGCTAACTATTATGCATTACAGAAATGCGTGATATGCCACAATTACGCATCAGTTAAACTTTTTTCTGAAGTTTAATTCCAAGGACTAAAAAGTAGCCTACGCACAGGACAAGGAATTGGATTGTTTCACAAGGATTCATTAGAATCAAAATTATTGCTTTAGGATTCAATACCACACTTCTCTTCTGACTACCTGGCAATACAAGCTAAGTAAAGATGAGAAGATCCTTTCAATCTCTTTTCTTCTCCTCCCTGGCAATGCACAACCATTAATGGAGAAAAAAATACCAAGGGAACGTCATTTTCATGAGTGATCAGTGAATTCATCTGGGTTTCTAGCAATGCTGCCCTTGTGACTTCACTGTATTTCTAATAAACCGAGTTTCACGACCACAAAAAGAAAATGCCCCAACATAGTAGGCAAAAGTCTGACCAAGAGAATAAATGAGGGATTAGATAATTGCTCAGGCCCTAGAAATGAAACAGCACACTTTGAAACCAGCAGAAATTGACATTAACTTAACGGGGGCCCAATCTGCACCTCAGCCTTGCTCCCTTGCTTGATTTTTTTCACACTACTTGGAAACTTTTCAACATACTAAAAGCCCAAGTACTGCATCAAAACAGACACATCAACAACAATATAAGGCCATAATACAAATCTTAAGGAGTTTCTCCTCTGCTAGCACCCCTATTCACAGTAAAGGGAAAAGCAGACAAGGGGCCTCATTTAGCTTTGGACTATACTTTTACCACCTCAGCAAAGAGGAGTACGTGGCGGCTGTTTTTGCAACTCCTGGAAGCCTCCCAGATGCTCCTCCCAAATAAAACAAAGTTTAGTGGTAGGCTGCTTATTCCCGCTAACGAAAGTGACTTTCTCTAGATGAGCTCCGGCGCTGGCAGCCCCCTGGGGACTGAGCAGAAGGGAGGCCTGGCAGGGTACTGCCGACAGGGTACACGACGCCTCTGCTTCTCTCACACCAGCGGACGTCAGAATTAACTGCCTGTAAGTCAACGGACCAAAAATGTACAAAACCACTGCTAGAGAGGGGACATACAAACAGACAACGTTGCTGCTAACACGCGTAATAGCCAGACTGCGCACCCCCAGCTCTCACTGGGTTTTTGCGAAGCCTCCTGGAGCGCTGCCCGTGCCCTCCCGGCGCCACGGGCTGCCGCTCGCCCCGCGGGCTGCCGCCGGCCCCACAGGCCCCCG